GAATATTGCAAAACTTCAAGGATATTCAAGGATAAAATTTACATTTTCAATACCTTATGCACCAAAAAATTTAATCTATTTTTTCTCCACAGAATTTTCTCTTTAATTTGATATCCATTCTGTTTTTCTAAGAAAATTGCACTGAGTTTTTTAAATCATTTTCTGAATTGCTCATATTATTCAATTTTCAAGGTCTTTTGAAAAATATCCTAACTACAGAGAAATAAACTAAAAACGCAATTTTACTGCATATATTGCCTGTCGCGCGGTGTTATGTGTATGTACATATAATAAGCTAGATATTTATAACACATGAAGAGAGAGCCCGATATATATTTGTGAGTGCGAAGAGCTTGAAATGCGGGCCGACAGGAAAAACGGCCGAAAATTTTATCATAAAGTTAGGCGAATTACTAAAGGTTTCAAGACCATGGCGAAGTCCAGTAAGAGCAACCATGGTGAATGCACTTAAGATATGGGGGGAACGCTTTTCCATCCTGTCGTAACGAGATGATGAACCCGAGCCCCCAGTCGATGACGATGGAGTCGATGTCGCCCCGCCTGACTATGACGCTGTGCGAATAGCGATTACGCGGCTGAAAAACAACAAAGCTTCTGGAGCTGACCGTCTGCCAAACGAGCTATTTAAGTACGCCGGCGCGGAGCTGATAATATTGTCAGATGAACGCATCCCCAATGACTGGAATTTAAGTGTGCTCTTTGCAATTCACAGCAAAAGCGACCCCGCCATTCGGGCCAACTACTGCGGGATCAGCTTTCTATGTATAGGTAACAAGGTCTTAGCGAGCTTGTTGTGTGAAATACTGAAGCCCACTGTTAACGAACTTATTGGGTCGTATTGCTTTGGCTTTAGACCTGGCAAATCCACCATAGACCAGGTTTCACATTACGTTCAATCCTGGAAAAGACCCGCGAGAATAGGATCGACACACACCATCTATTTGCCGATTTAAAAGCCGCTTTCGCCAGCAAGAAAATCAGTTGCTTCTACCACGAAACTGATACGGCAGTGTAAATTGACGTTTAGCAATACCATCAGATCCATTAGCGTTGGAACGACCTCTCGGAGACATTCGCTACCACATGGGGTTTTAGACAGGGCGACTCCCTTTCGCGTTATTTCCTTAACCTGTTGTTTTAGAAGTTAATATGGAGCCGTGGAACTGAACCACTTAGGAACAATAAAGTTAAATATGGTTGGGCTGTGATAGAAACTTAACGATACAATTGTATTCATTTACCCTGAGAGTGGGATGAGAACAAAATATAACTGTAATATACTTAAGTATATTATTTATCCAAAATGCCTCTCTAAACACATTATATAACGAGCTTGAATACAATTTTCGATATTTAAACGAACTCATCTACATACTTAAATGGATATGTATGTATATACTCGTATGTATGTTTAAGCCCCAAATAATCGGAATTTAGTATTAGCATAATTGTGTGTGTGTGTGTGTGTGCGTGCACTCCCTGGTGGTTTAGGGTTGTTTACAGCTGTTCAAACTCATATTCATACATACATGTACATTTTTTTTGCATTCTTTCTTTTCTTCTTCTTCTTATTTTTCCATTACTTGTTCTACGGAACATGCTAGTTGTGTGTGAATTTTTTTGCAATTCCCATCAAGCACACAACCCGACTCCGACCGATTTGTATTCAGTTGCTTGTCAACATGTTGAGTGCGCGTTACGAGGTGCGGGTGTTATTCGATGATGCGTGTGTCGTTGACGTCGTCGACCTCTAAATTTTTGTTTCGTGCCAGTGATGTCGGTGATGTTTTGGTTTATTTTGCGGACTATTGAATTATTCGTGGAATTTTAATTAACAAACCGAAATGTTTTCGTTTGACTTTTGGCAGTGACAAAGGAGCGCATCGCAGCTTAAACAATTTACAGTCATGGGATGAGAAATAGCACAATTTCGCTTGAAAGGCCAAAGCCATTGCAAAAAAAAGTAATAAATTTATATGCTTGTTGAAAAGATGGTATGAAAATGGTGACTTACTTATTTTGACACATTTAACTATTGGAGACTGCTGCAAAATTAAACATCCTCTAATAAGATGTTGGACCAAGAATTCTGACACTTTGCAGCACGACAGCTAAAAAAATTCATAATAAAGACTTTACGTTCTAATTTGTGTTAAGAAAGTACTATTATTTTCAGAATTATACCTGAGATCAGCTCTAAAGTTACCAAAAGTTTGCTTTGGAATCGGAGAATCGTGAGAATTTTTACATTTCGGCCCAGTTAATGGATTTATTTCATTCTTAAGTTTTGAGCGTTGGTTATGTTTAGGCAACATATTGTGCGCTAACGTATGGTCAAACGTTTAACCTTCCTATTCCCGCGTATTGGTCTGTGAGACCGATGATCATTATTCGTGTTTTTTTTGAAGTGAAACTTCTTTAGCGGAGGTTGGTTGGTTGGGAGTAAATTGGTAAATTCAACGGAAATTGCACACGGAAATGGTGCAACGGAAATGATGCAACGGAAATGATGCAACGAAAATGGTTGGGGCTGAAACAACTGCTTCTTGTGTGTATGCATATGGTATTAATTTAACAAAAATTTGCTAATAAATAAAAGGTTAAAGAATAACACCTAGAAAAAAGCCCAATACAAGAATGAAAGTAAAGGTGACTAAGCACGTAGATAAAGAAAAGGATAAAGGCAAAGTAAAAATAAAAACAAAAAAAAAGATGCGTAAAGATAAAGGCAAAAATGAAGACCAAGGTAAATTTAAACACTTTGCTTATATATACAAGGCCAAAGGTGAAGGGGAATATGTAGATAAAAAAATGATAAACATAAAAGTAAAGGCAAAGAGGAGGATGATACCGATAAAAGCAAAGATGAAGATAGGGGAAGAAAGATTAAAATAAAATTAATTAAAGAGGAAATGATATAGAGAGAACAGAGTCTCAATCTGGGCACTATTTTGGCATTTCAGAGATTTTCGGGATTCTCGGGACTTATCGATAAATCGATAACAACATCGATAACAAAATCGATAAATATCGATAACCAAACCAATAAAAATCGATTATAATATCGATAACATAATCGACAAAAAGTATCGCTTACAAAATAGGTAAAGATGCCGATTACAAAGTCGATAACAAATCGCTAAATATATCGATAAAAATATCGATTATTGCATATATCGATAAGTTCCGAAAATATCGATAGCAAAATTGATAACAATATCAATAAAAATTTCGATAAAGAAATCGATAAAAATATCGATAAAAAAATCGATAAAAATATCGATAACGAAATCGATTGAAACATCTATAAAAAAATCTATTTCAAAATCGATAGGAAAGTCGATTAAAATATTGATAACAGAAACGACATAAGATATGGCTTATTATATAGATAAGTTCCGAAAATATCGATAGCAAAATTAAAAACAATATCGATAAAAATGTCGATAACAAAATCGATAAAAAATATCGATAACAAAACCGATAAAATATCGATAAGTCCCGAGAATTCCGAAAGTCTCTAATATTCCGAAACGGTCCCCAAATTGAGTCTCTGCCTATATCCTTTTGTCTATAATAACCTTTATTTTAAACTTTCTTCCTCTATCTTCATTTTTAATTTTATCGGTATCGGTATTTAAAAAATTGCAATAATTCATATACGATTAATCCACTGAGCAGAAATCTCGTTTAAGCGATTAATGTTGAAATATGGGTCAAATTGACCCAAAGTCCGAACGAAGGTTAAAGCGTTTTTAGACTACATTTTAACCTTAAAATGGAACAGAGTCAAATCGGATTGATTTTGGTAGAGTAAGGTAAAATTTATTAATTAGATGAATCTGAATCTGTAGTTACAATTAGTAATAAAAAAGGTCGTTGCAATGCGTTGTTGTAATTGCAGCACCAAGAAAATAATAATAAGGGTATTCATCCAAACGCGTAAATGCCTTGTAACCACGTAGACCTCGTAAACTTTCGTAATTGCGTTGCGGCTTTTAGGCGTTTAGATGAATTCCCTTAATGTATGTTCCGACTGCCATCTAATTGAGTCTGAGAGATTCAAGTATATTTTACCCTTTTATTTGACATATGGTTTTCTTTAAAATTCTATTTTGTTTTTTTTTTTAATTTTTTTAAGTGTGTGTTGAAGGGAGTATACATAATATTCACAGAAGCATAGCAAGCAATGGGAAGTTATCGCAAACACGCCAAGGGAGTACTTACTGAGTAATCGAACGATGTTGCCAAGTTTTACTGGGTGTTACCGTAGCTACATTACACCAACAAAAGTAGTTCAGGACTACGCTTATGTACATGGTATATATATATAGCATACATAATTGAATTTCATGCCAAGAATGATTTATTTAAACTTCCATAAAAGTAAACTTGTATCTTCAAAACTGAAATCGTAAGACTCGACAAACTTTCATCATTATTTTTTTTTCATTAAAATATACATATTGACATTCTTTATATTGAATATACAGTGCGAGTTTCTATGTATTAAAAAATTATGATTTTGATTTCGCTTTAGAATTTTGACTAAGAATTTAATTTAGGTTACCTCAATTATCAACCCATACCCAATACAAAACACACAAATAACATGAAAAATAAGCAATTTTTCGTCCTTCTCAATTTCAGGTTTCCGTACACCATGAAGGTGACGAATAAATGAACTACTAAAAGTGAGCAAATAGAGAAAGGACAATCTTTGTTGAAATTTGAGTAGACAAATATCTTGCAGGAAAATTAAAAATAACAGCAACAACAAAGAAAATCAAAATAAAGATCACTTCACTATGGGAACAAACAAAGAAAAGCAAACAAATTGTCAAAACCGACCAAAATACCATTTCAAAATATGATGGAAACCAACCACTGCAAAAACTAATACACATGAACAACAATTATTGCATAAAAGCAGCGAAACTATAAACAACATCTGTTTTCAGACGAGATGAAATTTTATTTCTGTTTGTAAGGAGTGGCAAGAAATTGACGCTGAATATAGCACGAAATTAAGGAGAATTGTTATTACTCTGTGTAGGTATGAGCACGTATGATATTTTGCGAATAATAAAAAGTTATTTTTTGCATTTGAAATAATTATCGAACTAACTTTTGCTCTAATAAAAAAAAATAAAAAAATGAAAAACAAAAAAAAAATGGAAACAACTTTTAGAAACAAAATTACGTAAATATAATTAAATAAAATAGAATAAGAGGAAAATAGAACAAATAAAATAAATTAAATAAAAATAAAAAATAATTTAAATTGAAACTCTTAGAACTCTTAAACGTGTCTATTTCTTCCTTTACAATTCAATTTTCTATTTCTATACTGTTTTCTTTATTTCCTCTTTCCTTACACTTATATAATTAAAATTATATAATTATTATTTAGGTTTCAGTAAAAATTAAACGGAATTAAACGGAATTAAAAAAATTAAAAAATCATGAATTAAAAAAATAAATAGGATTCGAATAGAGAGTATCCATTGGCAGTTTAGTGCTTTGCTCGCTCGGCCATCGCGACTGCTGGGGCTAATTTAACAAAAGGGCACACATTAATGTTTATTGTTTCCTTTGAACTAGCTGACCTCGAATCAGCATTCGAAGCTGGTAGCGATATTTTCGAGTGAACTCGGATTCCGTGATAGCAATTCGAATCCGTAGATTTTCTACGATGGATTCCGTGATAGCCCTGAATAATAATAATAATAATAAAAATAATGAATTATAGCTTAAAAAACTAAAAACTAGCTTTTAGAATTTCTATTCGTACTCGTAAACTAAAGGAGTTTCCCATTTACGTCATTTGATTGATCTTGTTTAGTTCAATTGCACTAAATTACCTGATAACACCAATTGAATGATCTTATTTTAGCCCTTGCAGTGCAATCGTACAATATATTGAACAAACTTTTTTTGTACTTAAAGCTCTTTTTTTCTTAAGTAAGAGCTTTTGTTTTTAAAATAACAGTTGTATTGAGAAAAGTATATTATTCTTATTTACCGCATTTCTTTTGCTGAATTTTCGGAATGCAGTGTGACTGTGTTTTTCAACAAAACTGAAAAGTGCCACCAGAGTCGATATTGAACAGTGAATTTATAGGAACAAATTCACTACTTTTCGATGGAATTGAAAACCGAAAAAAATGCTAAATGTTATTCTCATATCTGAATATATTTCGAAAAAAAAAGAAAAATTATTGATATCACTACGCTGTTTACAAATCTAGGGCAACACTGTCCAACGCTGAATAACGGTATAACTAAGAGTTTTATAATTTTTATACCCGAGCGCACTTGTGCACAAGGGTATATCAATTTTGTTCGCATAACGGTTGTTTGTAACAGCCAAAACGAATCGAGATAGATATAGATAAATGTATACATAAATGCTCAGAATGAATAGAGAAGTCGATTAAGCCATGTCTGTCTGTCCGTCCGTCTGTCCGTCCGCCCGTGTACACGATAACTCGAGTAAAAATTGGGATATCTCAACGAAATTTGGTATGTAGGTTTCGGCTAATCCAAGGTAGGTTGGTATTGAAAATGGGCGAAATCGGACAGTAACCACGCCCACTTCCCATATAACGGTAATTTCCAGAAATACGAAAACTGCGATATTTTAGTAACTTACTGAAGATAATTCACTCAAAATTGATATTTACAATAATTTTCAGACGAAAAATAAGAATATTATAAATTTTTGGAAAATGGGCGTAGCCACGCCCACTTATGGTTACATGTATCTTGGTAACCGTTGCACCAATTTCTTCCAAACTTGGCACAGTTGTTGGCCTTAATACAGCATACTAAATGGCCGAAAATTTAAAAAAATCGGACAACAACCACGCCCACATCCCATATAACGGTAATTTAGAGAAATACAAAATCTTCGATAAATCAGTAAATATTAAAGCTAATTTATTCAAAATTGATGCTTGCAACAACTCTTTACCAAGAAATACGTTTATGGTAAAATTTTGCAAAATGGGCGTGGCACCGCCCACTTATGATCAAATATATGTATATCGGTAACTGTTCTACTAATTTGTACCAAACTCGGTGTGGTTATTGTGCTTGCCACATAAAAGCAAAACGTTGAAAATTATTGAAATCGGACTAAAATGACGGCCGCTTTTCATATAACCGTAAATTTCAGAAATGCTTGAAACTTCAATAATTCGAAATTTAAGGACGCTAATTTATTCAAAATTGATACATCCCGGCTTACCATCTAGCGGAAGGTTTCGGAAAGGTGAAAAAACATATATTTAATACTTGCGACGGGTATTTAATGTTCGGCTTGGCTCCGAACTTAGACGTTCTTACTTGTTTTAATTGTATTTTTGAAATCAATGACCTAAAATTAGCTGGTAAACAAACTTCCAAATTTTTAGCTTCAGTGAGGTCGGAATTTGAATGCTCTTACACCCTAGGATTGGTCCAAATCGAAAAATATGCCGATTTTTTATTTATTTGGAGATCAAAAAATATTTAGTAGTCGATCAAACCGCTCAAAGTTTTCCATGTATTTTATATTGGGGAACCCTTTTTTCAGAAATCTTGAAAATAATATTTTTTTTTTTCGATCGGAAACTCTGTTTCTCTTCAGAAGAATATAATAGTTTTTTTATTTAACAATTTTTTAATACTGCGGTTTTGACAATGATAATGACAGTAACTTTTTTTTTTCTTTGCAGATTTCAAACTTTACCCAAGGCAAATAGAGGGTTCAAACTTTCGCATAAGTGTGGTCATTCGTGCACATGCATAAATATATGTACTATATGTCTGTACAATCTAGATCCAATTGTGTAAAAGGGCCACTCACTCACACACGAAAGAAAAATCGAAAGTGTTTTGCGGCAGGAAATTATTAATAATGCGCTCGACGTGGCCACAAATTGAAACTAATTAATTTGCGCACGTTTTCAATAGACAGCAAACAACAACAACAACAACAACAACACAAAGAATTACAACACATCTACAACAAAAATATCGCAAACAATTATTAGTTCAAAAAGTTATACATAGTCGGGCAGCGGATGCAGCGCATCTGTCAGCAAATGAAAGCTGCATTATTAGTACGCTTACCGCACAACCATAATCAGCTGCCAGCCACAACGCAGCGCAAGACCACATAATTCAAATAAAACGCGCATCCGCCACACAAAATTAACAACGCGCGGCAGCAGCAGCGCAAGTAAATGGCGGCGCAGTGTGTATGCCAACTTCTTTGCATTTGTGTGGGCAAGTGAATTTTGCAATTTTTCAATTTTTGCAAATTAAATGCAACAGCAGCCAAAGCATTGCAGCACTGTGGCAAACAAAAAAAAAAAAAACAAGTCTGAAGTTGCGGTGTAAAATCAATTTAAATGGTTTTAATGTGCATAAACAGAATTGTAGTAAAACTTGTTTTCGAACAAATAGGCTTCAGCGAGGAAGCTTGATAATAAAAAAAAAAAAATAGAACAGAAAATAAATCCTTTAAGCTACAAAGCGACGTCAAAGTGAAAGTGTGTATATCCGTTGACTGAGTACTGCGCATGAAAACGCAAAGAGGCCAAAGAAGTGCGAATTTCTACGCACGCAAAAATATAAAAAACAAAAACTATTTCAAAGCCAACACGTCCGCCACGCCACGACGCGTCGCAAGCAATTTGCGCTTGCTGCTGCTTATGGCAGTGTCTGGCCCGCCTGCTGGTCTGTCATAAAATATCAATTTGTGATTTTTCAATTTTGCCGCCGCCAGATAAATACAAACGTGCCGCAAATTTTCGCATCATCGCAGCGCTACCTCACCTTGGCACGCTCTTTCACGAGCGCTCGATCATTTATTAGCTACATGTATGTATGTACATATGTAAGTAGCGGTGGTGCGTGAGTGCGTCGTCTGTCGCTGGCAAAAAAAAGTAAACTAATAATTCGTCTAGTGAACGCGTGTGACTAGTGAAAAAATAAGCATATACCAAATACATATATGGTAATATAAGTAGTCGTACAAACATATATACAAACTTGACTTGTGTTTGCTTGCGTTGCGTATTTCAACCGTTGCGGTCTGTGGCAACATTGTGGCGAAACGTGCTCGCATTAGCTTAAGCCACAATTGGCATTGGTCTTATGGATGTGTGTATGGATAAACAAGCCTACTTACCAACCAACATAAATGTACAAACACAAATATTTTAACAATCCGCTTAATACATTCAAGGCATTTCGCGCGCGCGCTAAGATATACTAGCTGTTTGATTTTCAGCTCGCTCGACACCACCCACTACACCTTCTAGCCCCATCCTTAACTTTACGCTTACCCTCTATTCGTAGTGGCATTAAAAATGTGCGACCGAATGTTTGCTTGTAATTTGCGGTCAATGAAATTGGCTCTTAGCCGGCGGCATGGCTTCATGTCGACGACGTCGTCTGTGTGCGCGCGCGCCTTCATTTCAACTTCCGCGTTGGCGTTGGCGTCAGTACCCGCGTGCTGTAAGTGTGACGCACATGAAATGAAGATGTCAAGGGTGTCGTCCATACAGCGACATTCGAACGGCACTTGCTCGCATGGCAACCAACACCAAGTTAGTTGCGGTGGCAGCAGAAATTGTGGTAGCGGTATTAGCCATTTTACACAGTGCTTAATTACATGCGCGCTGCTGCTGATTTTAGCTGCTGGTAATGGTAAGTAACATTGCATTTTTTTTACTGATTCGTAGTTATTAATTGAAAATAATTAAATACTTGATATTTAAGTACTTAGTCCGAATGTATTTTATTGAGGCCGTAGTATTAAAGTCAGAAATTCGCATCCAAAGGGCATTTTGAAATCAGGCTTCATGGTGAACAACAAGCTGGTTTAAACCGTCATGAAAAAAATAAAAAATTAATGCGGTTATTTTATTCATTGTTTGCAATTTGAAAAAGAAGAGTTGGCCTGAAAATGTTTTTCTGACGCTTATCACTTGTGCCAACGCAAATCTTGCCACCGCTTAGAACAAAAAAAAAATTTGGTAGAATTTCGCAAATTAATAAAACATATATATATATCTTTTTTTTTAAATATGTTTCACACTGTAACAAAAATCATATAAACAAAAGTTTCAAACTTTGTATACAAATTTCAATTTTCATAAAATTTTCATAACAAATTTAACATCAAACGTGCACTTTATTATACTAAAATTAAATGGACTATTAAAATGCATACCCGACATTTTCATAAAAATTGTTATTAAAAGTTTCAAAACTTTAATACAAATTTAACGAATTTTTCTAAATTTTGAGCAAAGTGTGAAACCTTTTTACATAGGTTTTTTTTTACAGTGTGAACTATATTTAAAAAATAAAGATATATTTTTTAGTAATTTACAAAATTCTACCTGATTAAAAAAAATGCTGGTAATGTTTTTCTGGCCAGAAGTGCATATCGCTGGCTGAGTGGAGGAAGATCGACCTATCTTTGCAGCCAGTTCGAAAATGTCCTATCTCAGAATTTGCTCTGTCTTAGCACATTTTCAATGTATTTTCGTTTGAGATAGGGCGTTTTTGAAATAAATTCTGTGATGGGGCGTTCTTGAACCAAATTCTAAATAGGGCATTTTTCAATCAAATTCTGAATTAGGACATTCTTGAAAAGTTTTCTGAGATAGGGCGTTTTCGAACTGGCTGCTGAGATAGGTCGATCTTCCACTCAGCTATCGATATGCACTTATGGCCAAACAAACATTACCATCATATTTTTTAATCAAGTAGAATTTTGTAAATTACTACTGTTATTTTTTTTACCACAATTTTAAACTTTTTATATGGCTTTGGAAATAAGCATATTTGTACTATTAAGGAAATAAAAGTTTTGTGAGCACATTGTAAATGTGTGGGGAATTTTTGTAATAAATTTGAAGTTAGCATACATTTTTATTCTTTTTCCCACTTCGACAGCATTTTTGTTTACCGAAATTTCAAGAGAAAATAGTGTCAGTAGTAAAACTAGTTATCATTTATAAAAAAACAAAAGACAATTTCGGAAGTTATGAATTTTTGAAAGATTTCTATGATATTTAGGTCACAGAAAATTTGAATCAGTTAGTTTGGATTCACATTTCAGGTTTTAATAGTTCGTCTAGGTGAAATCAAGAAAAAATTTTATTTTTGCTCTTTATAAAAAGTGTTATAAGTTCATAATATGTTTATGGATTTTATTAAATGGCACCTAGTTTTACTCGGAATCAAACATCATTTTCGAAGTTATTACTAAAAGAGACTACTTTCGCTTGAAATTTCGCAAAAAATGTTGTAAAAGTGGGAAAAATAACATAAATTGGTGTAAGTACATTTGAGATTGATACCAAACATTTTTCACATATTAACAAACGCTCACAAATCCTATTATTTTTTTATAAAAGTAAAAATATTATTCTTCTTAAAGCCATATACAAAAATTAAAATTGGTTAAAAAACAGTCAAGCTAAAAATTGTTTAGTTCCGGAGGAATTTGAGGGTGTTAGAAAAATTTTGAAAACAGTTTCGTGAATTACTCGGCCAGCTACACGACCTATACTAAGTCACTTAAAAAGTTTGTGTTTTTTTTTTTTTTTGTAACACGTGCTCTGACCTACTCACCCACCCTGTAGTTACAACTATGATAGTTGAAAATATCGATGGTTATATTAATAATTTAATTAAAAAATTTCAAAAATAAGTAATTGAAAATAATCAAAAATAACAATTATGTTATTAAAATTAATTAATGAAATTTTTTTGAAAGTAATTAATTATTAATCGTCATTTAAAAGGTGCAAATATTCGTATTTGATCATTAAATGGTTACCAAAAAAAAAACATGTTTTAATTAATAATCATTATGATTATTAATCATTATTTAACAGGTCTGTTTTAAACCAATTTTTTTTGAATCTTTCATTTAACTTTTGTTTTTCCTATTTTTTTTACAAAACTCAGTTTTGAATTTTAAATGGATTTCCACTAGGCATTAAATGGTAAAAAATGACAAATGACAAAGTTGGGCATTCAAAAATAATCGTGTAATTACGTTAAAAAAATTGTCATTAAGTTCATTTCCACGTTGCATTTTTTTTTTTTAAATGGCATACACATTTTGTCATTTCAATGCCTAGTGGAAATTTGGCATAACTGTATTATAATCACGTACGCAAGTTCATTCAAATTATCTCGAGAAGAGAGAATTTACGACAACTCGCATTAAAGCATTGAAAAATTAAAACAGAAAACAACAACATTGAAACGAATGTCCGCTAAAAATGAGAATAACTGTGAGTTAGATAATTTTTGTTATGCTTATCATTTGTTGTTACAAATAAGCCTCAGTAAATTACGTCCAGTTGCACGTCTGCAGCTGCGGCAAAACCAAATCACCAGAAATGGCAGCAGCCAAAGCAGAAGCAAGGGGGCAGCATCCGTACCAGCGCGCAGGAAACACTGGCCAAAGCGGCAAAGCTCGTTGCTGTGGGAAATTAATCACGATTATAATTTAAGCTGAATTATGAGCTAAAGCTGCTGAACGACCAACCAACCAAATAACAACAGCGATCCAGCTACCGCACACTACCAAGTGGCAGCAATAGCAACCAGAAAACAACAACACAGATAGCATTTTGTGTATCGTTCGTCCT